CGCAGAAACTGCCTTCTAAAAGAAGCTATCGAAGGAAAGATAGAGGGGCGGATAGAAGTGACAAGAAGACGAGGAAGAAGACATAAGAAGATGCTGGATGACCTTGGGGACAGAAGAGGATACTGTCATTTGAAGGAGAAAGCTCTAGATCGCATTAAGTGGAGGAATTGTTTTGGAAGAGACTGTGGACCTGTCGTCTGACAGATTACTGCTGATGATGATGATGAACACATGTAAATAAATCTTGGGATTCAATAAAAGCCGGGTTGATTCTTGGACAGCTTAGCGACTATTAGCGTCTCAGGAAGGACTCTGCTCTGTAGAGATAAATGAGCGTTTCTGTGAGGCACAAGATTGCACCATGAGACTATGGGGAGTGGACGCAAAACTCCAGAGCACCCGTTACCCATTGAACCACGGACTTATCTTGATGTTGTGCAACCAGAACTAGAGGAGGGTGGAGCCGGCGTAGCTCAGTGGGTATTCCGGCTAGACTACGAGCTGGATGGCTGAGTACCTGCGGTTCGATTTCCGACTTGCAGAGATATTCATCTCTTCTTCACAGCGTCCAGACCAGCTCTGTGGCCCACCCCGTCCAACGGGTACCGGGGGGAGGGGGGGTAAAGCTAACCACTTACCGAACCTATATCTTGTGAGGCAGGCATGCCAGAAACTTTCCTATCAGTACCTATAGAGGAAGTACGGTAAAGCTATCCATGTGAAAGGCCGTGAAGGCCCATAGAGTGGTGAGACGCGAAGATTCCAACATTTTCTAGACAGGCGGCTCACAGATGGCGCTGAGGTTGTCAGATTTATGCGTCGGCCGCACTTTATTCCCTAACAAGATTCCTGCTGCTCATTCCTGTTAGCTGCTGAGTCGACTCCAGAGTCACTGCGAAGCTGGAAAGATTAGGTCAAATGAAAAATCCAATGACCTCATTGGGACTTGAACCCGCTACCTTCCTTGTAGCACAGTGTCTCAACCAACTACGCTACTCTTTGCCACTATCAGTACCTTTACACTGTACAAACATAACCTCAAATTGGTTCACGTTATCTGCAACCACAAGTTGTACGTTACATGCCATTAACAGTTTCGTTACAATTAAAGAATTACAGTAACGTTACGTACAGAATCAATTCCATAATCTGAACAAATTTGCGAGGCATACAGTTAGCTATTATTTATGCAATCATAGACTTGGATACACGATCAAAATACTTACAAATTGATCTATTATTAAAGACCCGTGATCGAAACAAACACTTCTGAGAAACACAAACAACCACAGTAACCATTAACATTCACGACTGTCTTTTGTATGTATACAAAACACATTGCCCCGAGGCCATATGTCAATAATAAGATGTACCAACACAGAACTTACACCACCATTTTACACACAGTCTGAATTCTGCATGTTGGATTTCCAAACAATGCCATATATTTAACATGTCGATGTACTGAGAGAATCAATTTATGCTAATTAAATATGCGAAAATACAAAACGAATAAACAATATTTATTTGGTAGCAATTTACTTATGGATATGAACTGCATTATAGTACGAATCGTTGCCGCAACGCGCCGCTAAAGTACGGACTCGAGATCATGGGTTAGTGGCTTACCAAAAGAGGGCATCAGTGGACAATTATTGCAAATGTAAGATTTGAGGCTTTCACGGCGGTGACTATGAAGAAAGCAGTCTTCTGGGATTTGGCACCGTGTATATGTGGTGTTAACCGACGTTTCGGAGGAACGTATCGCCTCCATCTTCAGGGTAGAAGAAAAAGTATAAGAAATCTGCAAGCGACAAGACCGTGAGAACGGTAAAATGTGGTTAACACCACATATACACGGTGCCAAATCCCAGAAGACTTTCTTCCATTATTGCTAACTTTCACGTACAAGGTCGAGGGTGGAATATGGAGTGCTATTATCCTCGAAACTTAAGAAAGAAGCACAGAAGCTAGAGAAGATACAATATAGGGCAATCCACGGAGCACTGGGCTACAGGAGTAGCACCCCAACCAATGTAATGCTAGCAGAAGCCAAGGAAATCCCAATCTTCAGTAGGTTCAAGCAGCTGGCAAGGAAGCGTCAAGCACTCATCATATGACCCAGCTGCTGGAAGAATTATCAGCGGTAGTCGATAGGAAAAAATTAACATTTTCAAGACAGTACAGTACGAACATCAGGAACTGTCTGAAGACGATTCAGTACAATGCATCAAGCACTGCAACTCATTTTTTTTTTAATTCGCTTAGTGGGGGGGTGGAGTCCAGCTGGGTCCATTCGGCACGGCGGCCACTGATTGGCCTATTGTAGTCTGCCTCGGGTGATTATTATGATGGAGAATGTGGTCATTGGTAATCATTGATATTACGTCCGTTACTGTCGCCCTCAACAGAAGACCAAAAGTAACATCAATTTACTGAGATGCATAATTAGTTCGACACGTCAGCGTTCCGTCGAAGTCCGTCGCCGTTTATCACAATTGGTAACAACTTTATTTGTTACTGTGAGAAGCTGTTAGCCTCACGCTCAACCCCCAAGCTGGAGGACAACTCCTTGTGGCTGTCCACAGGCCGTCTCCTCCATCCGAAACCTGAGGACGCGCCATGCCGTGATGACAAGGGATCCACCTTGAGGATCTTCATAACTTGTACAGTTCGCCAAGTAGTGGTCAAGTCAAGGGGATGAGATGGGCAGGGAGGGCATGTAGCACGAATAGAGAAGAAGAGGAATGCATATAGGATATCGGTGGGAAAGCCAGGCGGAAAGAGACCACTAGGAAGACCAAGACATACGTGGGTGTATACTATTAAAATCGATCTTAGAGAGATAGGATGGGGTGGCATTGATTGGCTTTATCTGGCTTAGGATAGGACCAGTGGGGGGGCTCTTGTGAACAGGGTAATGAACCTCCAGATTCCAGAAAATGTTCGGAAGTTCTTGAGTAGCTGCACAACTGGCGGCTTCTCAAAAAGTTATTTAGTTACGTCACTGTTTCCCAAATTGGGAAAGGAACGTGAAACTATTTCCGCAGGCAATCGAATTGACGAAAAAAAAGTCTAAATACATTTTTTAATAACACCGTTTATTGAATGAATTAGTAATAATTTGTTTACATTGTTTTTGGACAATGGGACGCTTCAAACTTGGTACAGTACTGTCTTCTGAGGTGTGACGTCGTGTGGTCTAGTATAAATTATAGGTTTGTTGACATTTCGGTGAAACGTGCTGCCATACTCGGTATCACGTCTCTGAGGAGAGTAGGGTTCCTGGCCACCGAAGAAAGAAACAGGCTTGGAGTTGGTGGTGAATGAGTTAAACATTGCAGTACTGTTGCTTCTATTTCAGGTCTCCTGGGTTCAAATCTCCGATAAAAAAATCGTTGCCCCAGAGTGAAGCCTTCTATGGCTCTCATAAGTTCATACAAGCAAATATTGTGACAGTGCACAAATTGGATTAAATCACATATTCCTGCACAATCCGACAATGAAAAGCAAATATTCAGTTGAGAAAGCGTCACTAAATAAACCAAGACACGGCCACCCGAAAACCAATCCTACATATACTTAGCATCAGAGAAAAATTTTCAGCACTGCTAAGAAGTTTCGGTAAGTCAAGCAAATATTTGTGAAGATTCCTATCGTCTTGAGATGTAATGCCATGCAGTCCGTTGAAAGTCAACCAGCGTTTTGGAGGACTGTGTCGCCACCATCTTCATGCAGTGTTCAAAAGTGGGGAAATGTCACCCACTGATATATACCTCCGAAACATCGGTTGGCTTCTGCCGGACTGCAGCGCGTTGCATCTCAGGAGATAGAACACTTAGTAGTCACTGCCATGACTGTTCGTAATTACTGGATACAGCACGCAAAATCACTTCACCATAATTTTCGTATTCTCTTTTCTATGCTCTCCAAAATTATGTAACTACATCTGACAGTTCTTGTTTCGGGGTAGGTCAGTACTTCTGTAGAGTTATGGGCAGTTATGAAACCAGAACAGTGTGGAAACAAACTTCTGGATGATATGGGGAGGGGGATAAGTTGTGACAGTGGGCCTGATTCTGTACTTCTTACATTACACAGCAGAACATTACAGGAGCGAACCGGTCATGTAAACAGAAGGCCAATACGACACCATCAATACTCATGTAATATTTTCATACAAGAACTCATTCTGCATTCTGCCCACACAGTGCATTTGTGTGTTCCATATTATTCTTAGAATAAACAAAAAAATTATCTCCCGAAACAACATTAACCGGTTGGTCTCTGTAGCGGAGACGAAGTGTGTTTCCTGTGAGGTACAAACTGAATTCTTATATAATATTCAGAAGGAATTTCGTCTTTAAACGATTAAGTGCTCTTCACCAAAATGTAGGGCAAAATCATGAAATGCAGATGGGTAACATGTTTAGAAAATGTGGCACAGTTCAAATATTTGGGAACGTCTATAACAAATCAAAGGGGGCATACAGTAGAGTGGTTGGTTGAGGAGCTATGCTACAAACTGGAAGGTCGCGGATTCAAGTCCCGATGAGGTCATTGGATTTTTTTAGCTGACCTAATCCTTCCAGCCGGACTAGGCCCTGGGGTTGACTCAGCCTCTAACAGACATGAGTACCAGGAATTAATTAAATAATTTTCCTGGGGAGTAAAGCACGGCCGGTGAGTAAGGCTGACAACCTTACCGCCATCTATGAGAAGGATTGTCTAGATAATGTAGAAGCCTCAAGGTCTCACAACCATATGGGCCTTCACAGCCTGTTACAGGGATGGCTTTACTTTTTTTTTTTTATTTATAACAAATCAAAACCTGATTCAGGAGGAAATTAAGAGGAGACTGAACTCGGGTAATGCTTGCTACCGTTTAGTCTGGAACATTTTGTCTTCTTGTCTGTCATCCAAAAACATAAAAATTAGAATATACAAAACTATAATTTTGCCTGTTGTTCTGTATGGGTGTGAAACTTGGTCTCTGACATTAAGGGAGGAACATAGATCGAGGGTGTTTGAGAACAGGGCGTTAAGAAGAATATGTGGACCGAAGAGGGATGAAGTGACAGAAGGTTGGAGAAAACTGCATAATGAGGAGCTTCATAACTTGTACTCTTCTCCAAGTATAATTAGAATGAACAAGTCAATGAGGATGAGGTGGGCAGGGCATATAGCACGAATGGGGAAGAGGAGAAATGCATACAGGATATTGGTGGGAAAGCCGGAAGAAAGGAGACCACTGGTAAGACCGAGATTTAGGTGGATGAACATTAAAATGGATCTTAGACGGACAGGATAGGATGGTATGGATTGGATTGAGCTGGCTCAGGATAGGGACCAGTGGAGGGCTCTTATGAACACGGTAATGAACCTTCGGGTTCCATAAAATCCTGGGAAATTCTTGAGTAGTGGCAGAATTGGCGGCTCCTCCAGAAGGGCTCAGCTCCTAGAGTAAGTAAGTATATATATTTAACATTTATTCTTGAGAAGAAACTTGTTGTGAATTGTAAAGTGTAATGCACCACTCTAAAGGGTATTCTACTTCTGAAATAATCATAAAATCAATTCTGTAATTCACCAAATCATTTACAATTTTCAAGCAACATACCATTCCAGACAAGTCGTCTCTTTTGTATAAGTTTCAGAAACCATTTGTTAAATTACTGGGTCTCAGTCCCTCACACCCCACACAGAGACCTATCAACTGGCAAGGAGGGAGGGGTCAAGCACGTCACCCCACCACGCATTCCTGAAGATGAAACAAAACTGAAGAATAATGGGAATGTACCAAAGATTAATAAAAATTAAAATTATACAAATCCATTCTTCTATCCTGATTCCTCTAGGACGACCTAGTGCTGTTTCAGCGTAAATGTGTAAGAAACATTTCTGCACCCCNNNCGCCCCCCCCCCCCCCGCAAAAAAAAAACAGTGGGCTCATGTTCAGCCCTTTCTGAGCCAAGATATTAGGAAGAAACTTTCTTCTTTCCTCCTGTTCGTTCGCTTAACGATTCTTTATGAAGCTTCTGACCCGACAGCTGTGCACTCCTGGCTTGAAAGCGATAACATCTCTCAAACGAAATAACTGAAATTACAGAAGTCCTGATACGCCACATCTGTTTCACCATCTTTTTGTTGTGCTGCATTCCCAGCTCCCACTCGGTTCTGTCTGTCTCTCTGGCAGGCAACTTTCCCGTGGTGCTAGGTGCTTTACCATGGGGATGCAAACGTGTTGGATGGGTCCCCCCCTCTCAAAATGCCAGAACACGATTTTATTCCCGCGGTTTGTGAGAATAATGAATTATGCTTTCCGAGGACCACTGCCTGGAAAATGTCCACCAGTAATGGTGCGACTTCCTACGTGCAGAGAGAGGATGGCACCGTTCCAAAGGTTAAGCTGATCTTTCATCGCCATCCCAGTGACATTAAGAAAGCCACCGAGTCCTTTTACATAAGGATATTACATTTTCAGCAAATACAGGGTGTATCGATTTGGTGGCTGTAAAAAGTGCGGTTTGTTTCGTCTCACTCATTCCTTTGCGCTAGGCGCCTGTAACAGCAAACAGCAGTAATTATACTATGCACACCTACTTTAACATTAAAATCTATGATTTTTTGTGTTCCGTATGATTCTCACAATAAATAGCGACTTTCACAGCTGAAAAATATATTAATTTAAGAAACACCCATAAGAAATTCATCTTCAAATTCACCATAAGGAAAAACTTCTTTGGACAGCACCCAGTGTGTTCAGAATGTGCTATTTAATCGGTATTAGGGCCTTGAGTGCTGCTGCCACCTAATGAAGACATCCTTGTCAGCCCGACAGGAGCTGGCGACATCTGTTGCATCTCCTACTAACTGCTCTGTGAACATGGATCCCATATAACAAGGGACTCGCTGACACTTCAAATTCTCATGTGGCAAACAGACTGCAATACAAAAGGAAAGTAAATCGAGATTTACTGAAGTTGCTGATTGCTTGAAAGCTGTCATTGGTTTGAGTTCCTTCAACTAAACATGACAGGTCCCAGCAAGAAGATTCTTGTAAGTGATGAGGTGTTTTATGAACTGTTACAAGCGAGAGAATATAGTAGTGAGAGCAAAATAAATGTGAAAATTTTGTCAGGTGGTGAACAAAATGTCAGCTCTGGGGTAAATGGTAAAGTCCCTGTGCTCATGAAGGCATATGGGGGTAGTGGATATATAGACCCACCCTTTCAAGACCTCTGCACTAGCTGTAGGTGAGTGGTCAGGAATCTGAAGTCCAATAATTGTCTTTCACAGTGTTCTGTTCCATAGTTTTATAATGAATCATGATTGAGGTACTGCATTTTTAAAAGGAAGTAAAAATTATAACATTAAATGCGAAACTAAACTCCGTGGCTTGTAGTCCGAAAGTGAACTATACCGACCGAGAGATCGCCTCGTCAGCAAAGTTAGTGCCAACTTTAAATGCTGCAGTGACAAATTTAAATGTCCAGGAGACTTTCATGTGCCACTGCGGGAGAGATAAGAACACAGAAGAACTACTTGACTGGTTAAAAAACCATTCTACATGAGTCCGGTAAGTAGGATGTCCCAGGAGGAAAGGTCAATATTCTGTAAGGTCACAGTATCTGCCATTCTAAGCAGAAAAGTGTAAGTGTACAAATCTCCTACTCTCGGTGGTTTCTCAGATAAGAGCTATTTCACTGTACAGCTGCAAAATCGTTGATAAGAAAGAGATATTACGTAGGTAGGCTGAAAAGTAATGCACACATGCTTGTAGAGCGCGAACGAAATGACCTTCAGAAGCGCGCCAGGCGGCATGTGGAAGTAACATTCCCCCTCAATACGCATGCGCAGGTTTGAGGTCGTTGCGTTCATCCAGTGTATTTTGAGAAGCGGAAGTATGGAGATGTGTTCTAGTGCTATGTCAACGCGAGTTAAACAGCGTGCTGTTTTCGAATTTTTAACTGCTGAAAAAGTGACTCCTACTGAGATTCATCGTCGTTTAAAGGCTGTTTATGGTGATGATGCTGTTGATAGGTCTACTGTAAATCGATGGGTAATAAAATTTCGTGGTTGCGAGCCTGGAAAACCATAATTGTTGATGAAACACGCAGTGGACTGCCACAGTCGATAATCATCACAAACTCGTCAACGATTTGATTCAAAATGACGGGCAATCACTCAAAAGCGTATCGCAAACCATACTGGAAAATCCAAGGTACATGTCGGCTTCATTATTGAACAGTTGGGATACTGTAAAATCTGTGCACGATGGGTACCACGCCGTCTCACAGACAAGAAAAAAAGCGTCGATTGGAATGCTGCAAGCAACTTTTACAGCGCTACCGTGATGAAGGAGACGACTTTCTTTTGAATATTGTGACGGGGTACGAGTCATAGGTCCATCGTTACAACCCAGAAGAGAAAAGACAGAGCGCTGAATATCGACATCCGTCTCCTCCTCAGGCGAAAAAGTTCAAAACACAACCATCCGCCAAAAAACTTCTTTTGACTGTGTTTTGGGATGCTCACTGAGTTTATGTGACCGATTTTCTGGAACGAGGGGCAACGGTAAATTCTTCTCAGTACATACAGACTCTAAAACACCTCCGGCGTCGAGTTTGTCATGTTAAAGGCAGCCTGACGCCAATAATCTTGCAACATGACAACGCTCGTCCACACACCTCGCGCACAACTGAAGAGGCTCTGTGAAACCTGGAAGTTTGAACCGATTCCACACCCTCCTTATTCCCCCGATCTTGCACCTTGCGATTTTTATTTTTTTCCTCTACTCAAGAGAGACCTCGAGGGTAATCATTACACCTCGGACGATGAGGTGAAGGCAGCTGTCACGTCCTGGATTCGAGAAAAGTCGGAAGAATTTTTCAGTGACGGAATGAAAACACTTGTTACAAGTTGGGAGAAATGTGTTAGCCTTAACGGTGACTATGTTGAAAAATAAATATACGCTTTTGAAACTTAAGAATTGTACTTTAATGTACTTTTCTCCCGATCTTGCTATTTGTTTTTGTTCGCGCTCTAAAAGCATGTGTGCATTACTTTTCAGCCTACCCACGTACATAATGTTTCTGATACCGGTATTTATTGTTCAAGTGAAAAATGTTGGTGCAGTTTACCTAGTATAATCCATTTTTTAAAATTCCACCATCAACATCAATGCACTTTGCAACTCGTGCAAGGTCATGGCGTGTTACTCGTCTGCACGGTGTACAGTGAAATAGCTCTATCTCGGAATATGTTCGGAATAACACATGTACATATTCACTTTTTTCTTAGAATAAACAATACCATGTTCCTCCTGGGACACCCTGTATATGCCAATATGCAAAGCAATTTTGGCAACATTACAGACACCACAATGCACTCTGCTGACATGTAAACCCGCCCACTAAGTGATTTAAAAGTAAATTAATTCAACTTGGCTGTAATTCCATCATATCCACGAGCTAATGTAGGTTTCATTAACCTTATTATTTCTTCTATTTCATTAAAATTTAGGGTTGCAAAAAGGAAGTATATAAATAATCTGTAGGTCTCTTGTCTATTAGCCACATCCTTGTTTATCAAATCTTGTGATCTAGAAAGAAATTATTAAATGAGCTTACAATGTCTTCATATTTCTGGATATTTTTGCCTATTATCTTTAAATAAGTTACATAAGTGGATACATGATCATTTCTGGTCGCGTTCCTTATGACCTGCCAAGCTGCCCTAGCCTGATTATTGGAAGTTGCTACAATTTTAGTAAAATGCAACTTTTTCGCTCTTAAAATATCCCTACTTAATATGTTACAATACTCTTTGTGGGGTGCTTTTAAACTGGGATTATTATTTCGAGTTTTTATGTAACACATGATTTTTCGATTCCTGACGTAACCCATAAGTGATTAATATACGTAGTTCGTGATTTCGAAATCTGATAACACAAGATAAATACCCGAAGATAGGTATTTAAAAATTATTAAATACTGTATCTCCATGACTGTCAATGAAGATATCATCCCATAGCTCATAATTCCTAAGCCTTCCAAATAAACCTCACAGTTCAACTTACTCCTGCAGCGGATGTACGTATAACTTTCCAGCTATTTAGATATCAAGTGCATGAACAGGGGAGCCCGAATGAAACATCTGAAGTGACACATACCTCAGGGGATGGACAGGCTGTGTGCGCCCCACGCTCACTCACCAGCACTGCTACAGGACAGTAAGAGATCTTGTCATCAAGGCAGCAGCGAGGAAGAGAACTGTCTGCAGGGGTGTGAAACCATGCAGTTTGTTACAAGTTTACTGACATTTCAGAGGACTCTCCTTACTCTTTGAACCTGAAGATGGCAGTAACATGTTCCCCTGAAATGTCAGTGTTCTATCAAACTATAAGGTGTCACATCCCAGAATGTGCAGGACTTTGAACAGAGAGAAACAATTACAGTTCCTTCTAACAGTATTTTCAATCCCTGTGAAAAGTACAAGAGAATGACATTAAAATCATAAATGCCTTATAACTGCACTTACAGTGGGCATGGAAATTCAAGTCAGCTCTTGTTTCTGAATATCTGAGGTGCCACGGACAACTCTCAGCATCTGGTACAGCACTTTACACTGTCATCTGCCCAGCGCCGGCCTCAAAGGGTACATAATGATACATTACAGTCTTGCCTACTTGGGTTCAAAAACAGTATGTGATATGTGCAATATAAGTCATAACATGAAAACATTTCACATAAGTACAATACCCAATAGCTAAGTGTACCCTTCTTGAAGAGCTAAGGGGAACCTCCATTTCAAATTCCTGTTGGAAAAACCTAAAATCTTCAAATATTAAATGAGCCTTNTCTATCCCAGGAGTATCCTACCATCTACACCCAGGTCTCCCAGGTAGGCTTCCTTTTAGGTCTTGTGACCTAACTAATGTCCACACGTCTCAGCAAACCCATACATGCTACATGCCCAGCTCATCTCATCCTCCTCGAGTCAGTAACCCTGCTAAAACGATATTGTTAACGGTACAAATTATGGAAGTCCTCATTCTGCAGTTCAGTGCATTACCCACTGAATCTCAACACTGAACTCGGCGTTATCAATTCTGTGTTTCTCAACACAGTCACAATCACAACCAACACTGCATGCACCTTCCCTGTAGGAACTTTTCACAGCTGTGGTGCGACAGGACTCGAAGGGAAGACCTCCTGGATGCCCCACTCTCAGCTGAAAGCTGATGAGCTCCTTTACATTGATGTGGACAGTAACGTGGGACTACCTTCATTCTTCTGGTACATTTAGAACGTGACGCCTCATCACCTGGGCTGGCAATTTCTTCACCCAAGTCTCGCCAGCACCTCAAACAAACAGTACAATCTGCCTACTAGTGTATGCACTGATAGCAGCACAAGGCAACACAACTCTCACAATGTGCTGAACAGTAAGTATGCAAACACTAAAAGTTTCAAATTCCCAAACAGCTTACCTGACGATTAGTTGCCGACATTCCGTGCACGTCTAGTGGAGGCAACTGGGGATCTCCCTGGCGATCTTTCCCTGATGCGAAGTAAAGCGTGTCCATGAGGAGGGCGTGAGGTAGGACCTTCATGGATGCAGTAACCTGGGTCCCGCATCCTCCATCACTCAGAACAGCAACTTCTTCAGTGATGCCACTCCAGCACTGTTCACATGGGCTATGTACACAGAACTCCCTGCACTGGGAACCCAACATGGAGTACAGTATACATCAGTGTGCAAACTGAAGATGGTCTTTCACTTAGAATGGTATAGGAAAAGCACTAATAGCTCAGTCTACAGGCCGGACAGCTGAAGACCCAATTCCTGGCAGAAGTAAGTGATCTTCCTCTACCTCAGAGCATACAGGCCAGCTCTGGTGCTCTACTGAGACGGTGACTATAAGGCATATCGTCTTCTGGCTTGTAATGCTATGTGGTTAGGAGAAAGTCTCAAGTTTCAGAGGGACACAGGTATAAAAGGTAAAACCTAGCTATGTAACAGGCCGTGGAGGCCCATAGCGTTTTGAGATGTCCAGGCTCCCACATTTTCTAAAACAACTAGATCACAGATGGCAGTGAGGTCAGTCTTACATGCCAGCTGCCCTTTATCCCCAGAAAGATTCCTGGTACTCACTTCTGTTAAGAGGCTGAGTTGACACCAGGGCCATAGTGCTGTTGGAAGGATTAGGTCAACTGAAAAATCGAATGACCTCATTGCGATTTGAACCTGTGACCTTCTGGCTTGTAACATAGTGCCTCAACCAACAATGCTACCGCATGCCCTTCAGAGTGACATATGACCACAATTTTCAGGTCTGAAGAAAAAGCTAAACACAAAATTTCTTGCTTAGCTGACTCTTCAACGTAATATCTTCGCCTGAAATACTAGGCACTTCTAACCCTCACAGGGACAGGATTCTACTATTCCTATACAAATAGCTTCTGGCATAACAAATACCTGTATTATGAAGCATTTTTCCTGCAGTCATGGCAGAAACTTTGAGATTGTCCATCTTCAGCCTGAAGTTCATGAACTCCTTGAAGGTGAGGGTGACACTACTTCCATTCTCACTGCTCCACAATAAAAGAACAGTGGGCACCAAACAGTGAATACAAACGTCTCTTAGGAACTGTTAACAAAGAAAGAGGCCAGAAGATTTAAATTAGAAGCCTAATACTGCTAGTGGGCTTTCAGCTGAGATGGAAACTTGCTGCTTGCAAATGCAGGGTGACAAGTTTCCTCGGTCCCAACACAAACTTACACATTCTATAAAAACTGTTAGAACACTGCCCCTTCTGTCTTTAAGCATGACTCAAGGCTCATAACAAATTCTTCAGTTCTGAAGTGAATAGTTTCTTCATGTCCGTACATAAAGTACGCACAACACCAATACTTTTACACTGTGTAATGGCAGTTGTAAATTCTGCAGTAACAGCTGGAAAAACTGAATGCTTCCTGCATAACCTTAAGTTCAAGCAAAATGTAATCAGTCTTGTGGCTGTGGGTGCAGATCCAAGTGCAAATTGCTCCTCTGTACTGGTCTGTATACATCCTTGCATATCTTAAACCTCTTCTTTAGTGTGCACATTGTGCTAAGTTTGTCTCGCACGACAAAATTACGTATCCCGCTGTCGGCCAACACTGCATTGATACTTTCCTCTTACCTGCAAGATCTTATACCGATATATTTTTCGACCACACTGCTCAAACAGATTTTATCGCTTTTTAATTTTTAAATAATTACAAGCCGTAAAATAAGCTCCCACACTCTTTCACATCACACCAACCTCACACACAAAATGGCTACCTTAAGCACCTTCATTCTCTGGCCGACACTAGCGCTGTCGAGTATTCATCTGAATGTCTTTGACATTTTCATTAAAACATTACTTGAAGAAAGCATTCTTCTGGGATTTGGCACCGTGTATATGTGGTGTTAACCGACGTTTCGGAGGAACGTATCGCCTCCATCTTCAGGGTAGAAGAAAAAGTATAAGAAATCTGCAAGCGACAAGACCGTGAGAACGGTAAATGCAGATGGAGGCGATACGTTCCTCCGAAACGTCGGTTAACACCACATATACACGGTGCCAAATCCCAGAAGACTGCTTTCTTCATAGTCACCGCCGTGAAAGCCTCAAATCTTACAAAACATTACTTATTCGCGCTGTACTTGAAATACGCATTTAATCAGTACAGTTTTCCCGCACACTCACAATGCTGTCTCGATAGGTCTACTTTACATTAATGAAATTTACTCAGTGCTTTAAGACTTTGAGGCAGTTTAGTTAGTAAATATTACGTTCATAAATGCAGTTCCTACATAACAGAAAAACATTATTCATGTTCATTACAAAGACATATCAGCTGATTACTCTTCATGTTATTTCACGACGCTTCCAGTAACTACAAAACTATGCATGTATACCCGTAACCTGGGAACAACAGCGAAATAAGCTGCTATTAAAAGCTGTTGCTAGGTAATTGCTCTGTAAACACAGGGCGTTGCTAGATAATTGCTCTGTAAATAAAAGTTGTTGCTAGGTACTGTAAAGTGTTACTTGCCACTGAAGACGCCTTTCGGATTCTTTATCTGTTTAGTTAACAACCTACAACGCTCCGAAGGTGTTACATCACCGCTGGTGGGGTAGGGGAAGTATTAACGTCAGCGCTCCGATGCCGCCACGTCAGCGCTCGGACGCCACGTCACAGTATATTACGTCACCAGGCGACACGCGGCCAGGCTCAGGCTATATAAAGAAGCAGCTAGCTTGATTCGTCAGTTTGACTTCGACAGTGAGGCGAGGAGCGAGATATACAGTGACAGTGTGCCATTACCAAGGAACGACTAGTAAAATCTCGGCGCTTGCAGTTATAAGTTACGGTGTGTGTAAAATAGTGAAAGTGAAACAGCTACACCAGGTCTTCATTGGATTTAGCGGACTGAACGAAACCCGTGTTAGACGTACTAAATAGTATTTCGTACTATTGTAAGAAGAAGCCACGAAAATGTGGAAAATATCAGCCGTGATTATAGCATGCGTATCTTTTTTGGTACTTCCCCAAGGAGGAATATACCCTAAAACCCCAGGATTGGAACTATCTACTGCACCTGGACCGTTCTCGGCACTTGGACCCATCGCAGCACTTGGACCCATCGCAGCACCTGTACCATTACCAGTACCAGAAACTATCGCAGAACGTGGACCCATCCCAACACCTGAAGCGATCCCAGCACCTGTACCATTACCAGAAACTATCGCAGCATCTGGCCCCATCCCAACACCTGTACCATTACCAGAAACTATCGCAGCACCTGGACGCATCCCAACACCCGAAACTGCCTTGCAGCCAATCCAAGAGTCCGAAAGAATTGCAGCTGGAACCTGCGCTAGAACAAAGAAAGCAGAGTATGCAGTGTCCCGGGCATTTCAATGGAGAACATCACAAGAACGCGAGTATTTCTGGATGCTACTTGGTGGTCCCCTGTTCCTCAGCCTGATCACACTCACTGCGTGTGTGACTGTGCGGTGCCACCTTCGGCGAGTTTCGTACAGGGAACATGAGAGAACACAGAAACCGGCACAGTCCAAGAAGTCAGTACACCAGAGGAAATGTGTCCAGCTAGAGATGAGAGACAAGCTAGCGAAAGTGCAAAAATCGACAAAAGGAAGTGCCCGGGTCCGGAAGGAGCTTCACACATCCTATCTTATGGCGAAGGAAAGAGACGAAAAACCTGTTCAGTTAAGGACTGAGGTGGATGAAATTAGCATGATAGTGAAGGCTCAGGGAGAATGTTGCAATCAGTCACTCAGTGATTCCACCAGGACAGCCGAGATGGAGGAGGAAGAACAACCTCCCCACATTCCGGAACCAGCAACTTCAGTAGACAATTCCGTTAAAAGTAGAGGAAGACGACGACGACGACGACGACGAAGATGATGGCCACTTTAAGGACCAATTGAATTCCGGAGGACAATGGAGTTAGTGTGGAGTTAGTCAGTCAGTGGAGTGGAGTCGGTTGGTGAGTGAGTGAATTAGTTAGAGGACTGCTACCGTTCAGTCGTTGTGACCTGTTGCTATGTGAAGCTGGTAGCTGAGGCCGTGGACCGATTGGGAACACAGAGGACTGGGAACGTCCACCGTTTGTATAACAACACAGCGCGCCTCGAACATCAACAGGACGACACTGAAGGATCCTATTCTCCAAACAACAGAACCACAAGGTGGCAGAGAATAAATAAATAGGACACAAACCAATTTGGTTTAAAAACTTTAACAAAATCTTCTTAAACATATTAATTGTAATTTATAAATATTTAAACGTATTATTATTATTTGTTAAAAACTTTAGATTTTGTACTCATTGTATAACATTTTATGTTCATAATAATATTCAGAAAATATATAGTAACAGTGGTTTCTGATTTTACTGATATCCTTCTAGCACTAGCCACTCAGTTCGGCAACCAGATTAAACCCGTCTAAATGAAGCTAGCAGTTGGAAGCAGTAGGTTCCTTCGAAATGCTGGTTCCTATCTAGGAAATTACACGGCGTCACATTCCAGAAAACCGTAATCTGAAGCTGATCTATGACGAGTACCATATTCTGGAATTTAGCGCTGTGTAGTTTGGTTTAAGCCTATAGACGTTTCGGAAGAACGTGCTGCTTCAGTTCTTGAAGTTGATGAGTAAGTGAAACAATGGATCTTTACGAAGCCAGCCCGTGATATCTGATCGCACTCAGTATCACTGAACATTATTGACAAGTGAGCATCTGGAGCGATTTCAGATTCAAGTAACTCGACATGTTTTTTTAA